GCGGGAAGGGGGGTCGGGGGAAAGACGAAGCACAGACGGGGTAAGCCGGGGGGTTATAGGTGAGGTTGGAGCGCACGAGTGGATCTAAATGAACTGAGCCGCGAGCCATGAAAGGGCCCCGCAGGTGCATGACCTATAACGTACTGTAACATCATATAATATATACTATAATAACATCTTGCCTCTCTGTTTCTGGTGTCCCCCCCCCTTCCCTCCCACCCTCCCCCTTTCCCTCCCACCCTCCCCCCTTCCCGACTGGTTAGTTATGCCTTCTTTACTTTAGCCGCAACAGTCTTTCCTCCTTGGCATCAGCTTCACTCGCTCGTGGTCCCTCCCCTCCCCCCCTCCCCTCCCCCCCCCTCCCTCCCTCCCTCCTCACCAGGGTGGTCGTTCGCAGGTCGACCTCAGGCTGATTGTCGTCCCCCTCGTCCTCCTCGTCCACATCAAGAACCTGCTCGAGGAATGAGCAGCACGGCAATCGAGGTGAGGTGAGGGTGAGAAGAACCTGCGAGTCACCACATATTTCGCCGCTGCTGCTGCTGCTGCACCACCCCTGCGGCGCACATAACTCCCCCAATATAAGCTCCTGTCCCCGCCCCCTCACTGTCACACCTCTCTCTTCCCCTTTTTCCCCTTTTCCCCCCTCACCTCGTCCGCTTCATCATCCTCGTCGTCCTCCTCCTCCTCAAACTCCACAGCCACTCCAAGCTCCTCGTCCAGCGTGTCGCCGGGGGCCCCCTGGGGGGGTGGCATTTCACCATGCGGTGCAAGAAAACTCAGAAGTGAACCCCGGGGGTTAGGTGGTCATATGCCCCCACCGGGGGCGGAAGGGGGACGTCATGTAAATGTATATACATACATACATACAAATGAACATCGCAACAGCTGCCGACGCCGACGGCAACACCCAGGAGTCATGGGGAGGGGGAGGAGGAGGGGAGACGGGGGAATCGTACAAACAACATTTGCCCGCAATCAATGGTCTTTTAAAGGATTTGGTCTTCACAACATATAAACTTCGCCCTCAATCTAAAGATTTATCTCTTGACGCAAAAGTTGGTGCTCTCGACGCACGACGCACGCGACACCTGACTGGCGCCCTTCCCTCTAAGCCTCTTTAGCCCACTCACCCACCAACCCACACACCCATTCACACAGCCGCCTCGCAGCATCCCTCCCTCCACACAAGGTCACTCTCCCCCTCCCCCTTCCCATCAGCCGCAGCAGTCTATACCCTCCTTGGCATCAGCTTCACTCGCTCGTGGTTCGTCTCTACCCCCTCTCCTTCCCCCTCCTCCTGCCCCTCCCCTTCCCTCACCTCCGCCTCCGTCACATAGTCAGTGATCCTCTTGCCCAGGGCCACCAGCCGGGCAAACATGTCATCGTCACAGGCCCCCAGCAGCGCGCCGCACTCCTTCTGGCGCTCCGGGTCGCGGAGGTCCTTGTTCTTCAGCACAGCCAACACCTCGTCGGCGGCGCCGCGGAGGACGTCCTGGATCAATAGCGGCGCGTTGCGGGTATGTATGTAAGTATGTATGTATGTATGTGCGTGTGTCAGAGAGAAAGAATGAGGGGGCTTGGGTAAAAGATCGCCTGAATAGCCACCCTTGTTTTCAACGAGGTTGCCAGCCCCTCCTTTTACCCATCCTCGTGCCCCCCGTCCCCGTCCCCAACCCCGCCCCCCGTCCCCTCACCCACCCACAATAAACCGGGAGCGGCCCCTCCCCTCCCCTCCCCTCCCCTTGGCCAAGGAGACTCCTTCTCCTCTCTCTAGACTACACCCGTCTATCTCTTCGGGGTATCTGCTTCATTCGCCAGTGGTTCTCCTTTTCCTTATCCGGCCCCGGGCGGCCCCCCCCACACACACCCGCACCCTCCCACCCACCCTCCTCCCCCCGCCCCCCTCCTCCCCACCTGCGGCTGCTCCCCAAACAGGCTGTGGATAATGGCCAGCAGGGTCTCGTAAGCCTCCCGGGTCTCCTTGGTGCGGGGCCGGTACAGACCGCCCTGGGGGAGGGGAAGGGGGGGTAGAGACGAACCACGAACGAGTCAAGCTGATGCCAAGGAAAGACTGATGCGCCAGACGTAAGCGAGGGCGGGAGAAAAGAGCCGGGGAGGGAGACGAAAGCATGGTGTCAAGAAAACGACAAAAGCGGAAGAAGAGCCCAGACGTGACCCGAAAGGGCGAACGGGCTGGTGGGAGGGAAGAGGGGTTGAACATGGAGACAAACATGGAGGCGCGCGGGTCGGGTGCAAGAAGCGGGGGAGTAGCTGCGGGTGGAGTTGCCCGTGTGTGTGTGTGTGTGTGTGTGTGTGTGTGTGTGTGTCCGGGGGGCCGGGGAGGGGTTATTAGGACGAGGAGGTGGAGGAGGAGATTTGTCTGGGCAGGGGTAACCAAGAGGGCAGTGTGTTTAGCTGCTGCTAAATGATGGCCGCGATGTCCAACAGTCGCAGTGAGAACTGGACGGACGGACAAACGGACACACTGCCGCGATTCATTCGCCTCCGCTGCTCCTCGACCCCTGATCGCGAATCCCCTTTTCGCGCACCCCAGCCTATACGCCGTTACAGCACCGGGGGAGCTGGCGACTGTCCTCGACTGATGGGGAGGACGACTGATGGTTAGCAAGACCAGCTGTGTCTGGGACTGTATCTGTAAGGGATCGGCTCCAGGACGCCCCCCGCTCCGTCTTCCGGCTTTCCAAGGCTGACCTGACACCCCCCCTCAGACATCATCGACTCCGTCCAGCCCATCATGTTTCAGCATGACCCACATCACCGACTCCGACCCAATCCGCATATTGCAGCTGACTGACACACCCACAACATCTTGTGTCCTTAGGGATATTCATTTTTTTAATTTTTTAAAACTTTCCCTCACCTCCCTTCTTACCCCTCTTCTCCCCCGTGTCCGATTAGAACAGAACTGAACATCTCCCCCATCTTGCCATCCCCCCCCGGGAACCCCGACCTCAGGCCCCCCCGCCCTCCGTCCTCCTGCACTTCGCCCACTCTCCGTACCTAGGGTTGGGCACTTCCTTTTCACTTCGTCGTCCTAGAATCCTCCCTCCCTCACTTCCCCCCTCCATCTCTCCCTTTTCTGTTTGCGTCAAGTGCCATCGGCCGAACCCCCCTCTTTAAGGGTGTTACCTCACCCATAGGGCCCGGAGGACATATCTCTCCTCCCCCCCCTTCCCGCCACCACCACCACCACCACCATCATCAGGATAGTGTCGTTATTATTCGTTATTATATAACATTCTTACTTAAGACATCGACACGAGCCCTTCCATTTTGATTATCCCCAAGGGCTGGTCGGTCATGATACATCACCACATGGCACCATCACCTGAGTCACTAGTGCCTCCACACGCCCATAGCCCATAGCCCTCCTCCTTCCCCATGACATGCCGTGCCTCCACTCCCTTTCCTTTACCCCCCCCCCCCCTTTTCCCCTGAGGCCCCAGACCGCCAACCACCAACCTGCTCCAGATCCAGCACGCTGAGTCCCCCCGCCGCGTTGCCGCGCTTGCTCCGGCCCTTGGAAGGTACCGCCAGCTCCAACTCCGCCGCCGCCGCGTCACGCTTCTTCTTGGCAGCCCGCTCCTTGCGCTCCGAATCAGGACGCGTAGTCTGGGCCCGGTCGCCCATCTTGCCCTGCAAGGGAAAAGGGGAAGGGGGGAAAGGGAAAAGGGAAGGGGGTTTAGGGGAAGATTTGAGTTGAATTCATGCGGTGGTTCGAGAAAAGCGGTAAAAAAAGAGTTAACTGCCGAGTTAACGTCCACACGGTTGAAGGTAAAAGCCTATATAATGCTCAGACAGCCCCAGTCTTCAATGTATACTGTTCCGCTCGTCGGGCTTCTTGTGAATGGTTTTTTTTTGGAGTTAACCTAACCCCAAGGAGGTTTTAAAGGTGTTCTTGGGAACAGACAAGACGAAGGGCGATGTCGAAGGCACAACATGGATTACACGCAGAGATTAGGTACACGTGCACGGCTGACAAAAAGCGCAAGACATGGCGAAAAACGCGAGGCGCACACGGGGCCCCACCTTCATGCGCCCCCATAGTGTCTCCGGCTCCCCGCTGGGTTCGGTGGCGTATTCCCGCGTGCGAGTGTCCGATGTGAGCACGAGACTGGAATTCTGCGTGGGGTTCATTTTTGTGTGTGTGGGGGGGGGGTTGTATAAAGGGAGGGGAGGGGAGAGGTCAGTACGATGGGCTAAGGGCAACAGTCCATGTAGGCTGAGAGGCCGATGGAGAGGGGCAAGGATAGGGAAGTTGTGCTGTGCAGCCCTCTGCTACGGTTTCTCTTAGGATTTGAGCGAAATCTGTCAATTGAAGGTTGCTGTGGGGCTTCGAGGATGCGCTAAGCAAACAGTCCATGTAGAAAGCAGTCCATGCAAAAGCGAACAAGCCCAGCCCGAGACCCAGGGCCTCGTTTCCTAAGGGGCCCCGTCGCTGCAACCGGTCACGGCTCGTTAACGTAATCCCCAGCATGCATCCCGTAGTGCTGGAACACTATTGAGGCCAGCTGCATGATAAGCCGTGCAACAGTATTCGTGACCCCCTCTCCCTGCGTCGGTGAGCAGATGGGCTCACGTTGCCATCCTAGGATGATTCCAACACAGCTTGACAGCCGGACTTCCTCATGCGTAAGAATTTGCTTAAAAACATAATACTCCCGAACCAGGGTTGACATGTTCCGCCGCCAACCCTCGTCAATCTGTTGACGCTCCAGAGACATAGCATGAGCTTATGCCGCCTCTATCTAGTAACGAAGTATAACGTCCTCGCCATGCAAGACCCGAACATCGCATGCTAAGGCGGGCTTGAAATCCCGCACGCGTAGCAAGCCGCTTACCGCTTTGTAATCGAACTGCTTGAAGCGGGCATACGCCTCAGCACCACCCTTCTCCTTGTTCGACATTCTGAATAGCTGCGGAAGTTCCTGCCGAAACTTTTCGAGTAACGATGCCGATCCCGCCGCTGCGGCAAGCGCCGCTAACAGCGGCGCTCTGTTATGACCCTATGTGACTGACAACTATGTATTAGAACACTGGCATCAGCTTAAAACTCGGTGGTAAACTGCAAGTCGGAGTTTTGCGTAAGAAGTTAACCCCAGCCTTCCTTGGTTTCTATTATGACAGTTTTCCATTCATAGAGTGGGAGTGGCACGTCTGTACTACTCAGCCTCAAGCCTCAGCCCTCACGTTGGCAGTTCGTTTTCCGTTCGTTAGTTGGTAGAGCCTGCGAGAGGCCCATGGTTCCTATGGATGGCCTTGCACGTTCCTGCCTCAACAAGACAGTATTTGCATAAGGGTGTCACGACCTCTCAAGGCCAACTGCGGATTTACTATCTCCGTATGTGAAAGCACTTTCACGTATCCGGAGTTCCTGGGTGGAAAGCCTCAAACTTCTTGTACATAAGCCAGAAACTCGAGGTAAAAGCAAAACGCGTTTGGTCAGAGCGCCGGATCAGAGCCTGAAGGCAACCAGCTCCACACCGACGCGCACGACTAGCCCTGCGCGCTATGTCCCATGCAACCACCGCTTCTCGCCACCAGAATCTCCAGCTCTATGACTATATCCATACCTAAAATTAAGTTAATCATGAACACGTTCGAGAGACAGTATGTAGTCCAATTTCAACATTTCTCGGGATTGCGAACTTGCAAGCGCAATCTGATGCACAAGTCCCATCAGGAACCCTCAGCCGCGTTTCGTCAAGCCCGCGATCGCCACAGCGATTGGGAGTACATGCAGCCCTCTCACACGGGTGTGGCTTGTCCAGGGGAGTGTAAACCATCCCGAACCCATTCTTTTTTTAAGTAAGTGAGCCTTGCAAACGTTTTTATTAAGGATTACACGTTCCACCTTTACATTGCAGGGGTTGGGGGCTCGCCGGGCCTGCTGCTACTGCTACATGGCCGAGATATGTTCCGATGATGCAGATAGGGCACGAGTGAGAAAACCTGAGAGACACACACACACACACACACACACACACGCACCCAGCCAGTAAGTTTACAGCAGGTTTACAGCATGTCTCAAAAGAGGCATTCATACACTCGCCCCTCCTCTTCCGCCAGAACGCAACCCAAAAGTAAAAACCCTAAGAATAACACCTGCCGGGGCCCCCCCCTCAACCGCCGCATCCCCCAGCCTTACAATAAAATCAAGAAAACAAAAACCACCAGGCCCGCTCCGTCGTCGTACATTGAAAGCCTTTTCGTCCTCATTTCTTTCTGCCTGCCGTCAATCAGTCACCCACCACCCCCGATAGGGTCTTCGCGCCCTAAAAAGCCATTCCCACCTCTGCCATTACCCCCCCTTCCAAATTCCAACAGCCCCGCTCGCTCCCCTCCTCACCTTGGGGGTGAGCTGCAACCCCACCCAACCAATAACCCAATCTTCAATTTTCACCACTCGCATCGCCATGACAGATTTACCAGAATTCACCAAAAGCTGCAGCTGCTACAACTATACCCTCACATAAAATGGCAGAGCTGCAGCTGCGAGAAGGCTGCAGCTAACTACAAGGGGGTACATTTACAGCCACTGAAATCTTACATTGAAATGTCGTTAAAAAACAGAATTAGAGTGTCGTCTTCAATGGAAGGAGTTAAGCATCTTGAGGAGGAACAGGACCGACAACTGCAATGCCTCACCTGACCTCACCTCACCGGACGAGTACCGGAGTCAAAACCTCCCCCCAAGCGCGCCTTCCATTTCCCGAAATGGCATCGGATGTAAGCTGCAGGGTACCACCTACCCGGAACCGCCGGGTGGTCGCACCACCGGGGGGCAACATAGCGCGAATACGACTTCGTGTGTATTCACACTCCGTAAGACAGTGTAGCACCACCATCACCACCTCCAACACCACCACCATCACCACCTCCAACACCACCTCCAACACCATTGCGCCTGTCACGAATTCCGTGGCTCGTACTTCTCAGTCAATCTCCAAGAGTCAATGAAAACCCCTCCCCACAAACCGCAAAGTGAAAAATAATTCGTTAGACCACCGATAGAAGCCTTCTAACGCACTGATGGTGGTGGTGGTGGTGGTAAGAAGAAGCCTCTCCCGAGCCGTACGGCAAGCCATAACACGACCTGCATACAACGTTACATCACCACAAGGAAACAAAGTACAAAGCATCGAAAACCTGCACCCGCCGCATTTTCCCTTTTTCAGACTGTAGCCCTTGGTGGCCAGAACCTGCAGCATCCCAGCCCCCGACAATCGGAACCACTCAGAGACCGCCGAAATGCAGCTCGCCATCCGGCAACCTGTGCACGCGCAATGTCACGTCCTTCCACTTTCCCTGGT